TAGTGACATCATGGCTGTCGCCGGCCAACGAGTTGGTGTTTTTTCAATGTATGCTTCAGACACGGGTCACAACGAGGCGTTCCCCATAGCGACCCCTAGAGGACGCAGTTCGAAGTTCCCATGAAAGGGAACTCAACTCACTCACAATGTGAAATCATATTTAAAATCAGTCCATTTTTAAATGTTTTTTTTTTTTTTGCATGTGCTCCTCTCATTAGCATTACATTTGAATATGTTAAACAGAATGTAAATATTCAGTTCTACCGAAATGTAGCTGTTATTTAAGCTACTTTCTACTTTAAATGTAAAGCTTACAGTCAGTCATGTGATCAGAACTCATTAAACATAATCTTAAAATGTAGGAGTTTTAACCGACGGCACACACTGAACTGGTTTCACCACATCACTACTTGTATTACTGGGCAGTACATTTATTTATTTATTTAGATTTTTAAAACCATAATCACGATTATTTTGCTCAATATTGTAATCACAATTATTTAACACGATTATTTAACATGACAAAATCTTGAATGATAACGATGTGCACTGCCGGTCAAAAGTTTGGGATCAGTAAGACTTGTAATGTTTTTAAAGAAGTCTCTTCTGCTCATCAAGGCTGCATTTATTTGATCAAAAATACAGAAAAAAGCAGTAATCTTGCAAAATGTTATTACAATATAAAATAATGGTTTCTATTTTAATATCCTTTAAAATGTAATTTATTTTTGTGATGCACCGCTGAATTTCCATCATCATTACTCCAGTATAAAGCGATCCTTCAGAAATCATTCTAATATGCTGATTTATTATTAGAATTATCAACAGTTGTGCTGACAAATATTATTTTTGGAAACTGCGATACTTTTTTCAGGATTCTTTGATGAATAAAAAGTTAAAAAGAACAGCATTTATTCAAAATATAAATCTTTTCTAACAATATAAATCTTTGCTGTCACTTCTTATCAATTTAACGCATCCTCGCTGAATAAAAGTTTTAATTTCTTTAAAAAAAAGAAAGAATAAAAATGTACTGACCCCAAACTTTTGAACGGTAGTGTATATTGTTAGAAAAGATTTCTATTTTAAATAAATGCTCTTTTTTTTTTTTTTTAGCTTTTTATTCATCAAAGAATCCTGAAAAAAAGTATCACAGTTTCCAAAAAAATATGAAGCAGCACTGACAATAAATCTGCATATTAGAATGATATTAAAATAGAAAAACGTTATTTTACATCATAATAATATTTCACAATATAAATGTTTTTTCTGTATTTTTGATCAAATAAATGCAGCCTTGATGAGCAGAAGAGACTCCTGTAAAAACATTAAAAATCATTCTGATCCCAAACTTTTGACCGGTAGTGTATATCAAGTATATTTTGCTGAAAATAAGGATGCAGTGACATAAATATTTAGATAACAGTGAAATGTCACAATTCTCAATACCAGTTTTGACTCTGCAACTGAAACTAATACTAGACTAACTAATTTGTGAAAAATTCTTCAAACATTTATTGAAGACAAGTAAAATAAATAAATGGAAATAAAAACAGATTACAAACAATTGGACAAATACAAAGTAAATCTTTCTAACAGTGTAGAATTCAGCTAATAATCTACTACAGTAAATTAATAAATTAATTAAATGTACAATAAAAGTTACTACAAGGTTAAGGTTAACTAAACTAAACTTAACTACAACTAACAATAAAACCATAAAAAAACATTTCCATTATGTGAATAAATGAAATGAATGAATGTTCACTGAAATAAATTAATGTATACAAAAACTTATTTTATTTCAGCTAGGCAACATTTCTCATTTTCATTTAGTTTAACTTGATGTACTAAAATACAATAACTAACTAAAACTCAAATTAAAATGAATAATATATAGACATATTTAAAAGCAACAAAAACTACTAAAAATGACAAAAACACACAACAAAATGACTAAAACTTTAACTAAAATTAACATGAAAGCAGAAAATATAAAAATAAAATCTAATTCCAAATACGATATTAAAATCACACTGGTTTGAAGTTGTGCTGGAACACAGAAAACACGGGACACGCGTGTGTCTGCATGAGCGTCCGGTGTCAGAAGTTTCCATGGTAACAGTG